TAATGTTCTTTTTATTTTTTTTTAATTTCATTTTCGCCACTATCATATTCTCGGCAACATCATACTGATGTAATGTGATTAATTTGAGTTATGATAGGATACAAATACCGTCTGCCACCCATTCAGATTGTATGTTAGAAATGAGCAAAATATATCACACTTATCATGTAAGCTTTTTCCATTGCCCGCGTCCGGCTCGACTCGGCGCCGGTAGGTCTGAGGCGACCTGTTGCCGCGCCTCGTCTCTTCGTGTCTGTCTGTCTGTCTGTCTTTATGTCTGTCTGTCTGTCTGTCTGTCTGTCTGTCTGTCTGCCTGTCTGTCTGTCTGTCTGTCTGTCTGTCTGTCTGTCTGTCTGTCTGTCTGTCTGTCTGTCCGTCTGTCCGTCTGTCTGTCTGTCTGTCTGTCTGTCTGTCTGCCTGTCTGTCTGTCTGTCTGTCTGTCTGTCTGTCTGTCTGTCTGTCTGTCTGTCTGTCTGTCTGTCTGTCTGTCTGTCTGTCTGTCTGTCTGTCTGTCTGTCTGTCTGTCTGTGTTTGTTTTTCTGTCTTCTGTCTATCTTCTTTCTATATGTCTGTCTGTGCTAGGTTCTGCGCCTGTAGGTCTAAGGCGACCTGTTGCAGTGCAGCGCCGCGTCTGTGCCCCGTATGTCTGTGTGTGTGCCTGTCTGTCTGTCGATCGCCGACACTCCGGTTACCGCCGCCGGCGGTGGTGCCAGATCAGCGGTCGATGGTAAGTGACGCGCTCACACAAACTCGGGGGACCAATATCCCGGCTTAGCGACCTTTCACACCGAAATGAGGTGGCCAGAGAAAGAATCGAGAGGCGGTTTTAGAACTCAATAGCCCCTGAACGCCAGTAAAACGGCTGATAGGACCCGAAAATGAGTCTGGTGGTCCCAATTATCGCGCTTGGTATCTGCAATATACAGTACTTTAACAAGTAGGAGCCCGGAGTGCATTACTAAATGCCGATGTGTTATGCAGACGTGAAGTGCAGACTTCTTTACTTTAGGAAAGATGTCTAGCATACCTATAGCTCGCTGAGGTGATGCAAATTTGATATTAAATTTGATAATAATTTGGTGGACTGATTTCACCGATTGGTTTTGGGTGATGCACATGCGGCACCCGGGACACGCCTGAGTTATATTTACTGCAGCAACACCACATCAGTGTTCACGCCAATTAACGGTTGCCTAGCAACACTAGCATCCGGCGAGAAATTAAGGGCGAATCGCACATTTCGTGTTTTGCGCCTGCTAACAGCAATTAGATAACTTCAGATGACGAAAATAGCTCTCACGAGGCCTGGCAAGATTAAACTGTCTAGACCTTAGTAATGTATGTATGTATGTATATGAACTCATGTGTGGTATGAGCAAATGTAGCTTATGCTACATTGCTGACGTTTGCAATCTTTAAAGGGACCCTCCCACCTTCAAAAAAGTTGATGAATTGGCACGAAAGTGATGTCGCTCGGTTCAGAAAGAGCGAAAACGAATATCTACCAAATTTCATCGAAAAATATTCACCGGTTTTCAAGATATTAGACTTTTACTTTTGTTTACTTTTTGGGATCTCCGCTGTTCCTAGCGACTTTATTTGAAAGTGCGGCATTTGTTGCGCGCAAAGCAGCATATACCACCGCGTGCTACCAAACGTTTTAGTAAAAGATCTAAAAATCGTTAGATCTCCGCTGACGTCACAAATTCTAAGGGGGCATACCAATGCACTTGTAACTGCGTAGCAGTTGTATCTGACTTTGGTTTCTCCTCATTTGCAGGTTCGCCAGCCATTGAATGAGTGCTAATTGAGCTGGGCGGCTATTTGTTTGTTTCTTTGTTGCGCATTGAGCGACTGGAAGGAGTGACTGTGGAGACAGCACACTGTTGTCACTCGAGGTACCTGGAAAGAGTACGTTTCTATTTTTCTCTAGTCATTTCCGTTGTATCGTTCGTCGCGATTTGGCTTCACCATGTGTTAATAATTTTTTCGCGCTATAATTCTGTTACAAAGTACAAGCGTACTGGTTTCGATTATTTATCATGCGTTTACCAAAGTTTCGACTGAACGTTCGCCACATTTTCATGTGTCACATTTAACGCGAAGTGTGTATGTGAGTGTGAATGTGTGCGCTTTATTGCTGAGAGAGCATTATTTTAACCCATTTTCTCATGTGTGTGATTGACAGGTTTTTACGGTGACTGTGGTGTTACCAACCCAAGGTTCTCTGTCATTACCCCACATTACTGGATCCCAATACATGTGCTCTATCCCAATGCATCCAGTAATTTGAGTTTGATTGACGGTGGTGGCGGAGGCCGCATCAGTAAAAACTCTTCCTTCCGTCAGTGACCATGCTACTAACAAACTAACCACGACCCGCAGAGTCAGAATTATGCTTCTCATTATTATTTTTTTCCTCAATTACCTCAGTAGTTAGAGCTGTAGCTGTCCCCCATTAACGAGTCAACCAACAAGGAACCGAACATGGAGGGAGACAGCATCAGTGAAGCGCGTGGACTTCCAGGTCTCACCTCACAACGTGGAAGACAAGTAACGCTGACTGAAGAAGGGAGACAGTTCCAGATCGACATCAAGCAAAAGAAGTACCAGAAGGATCTGAAGGAGTTGAAGAAGGGTGTCGATATCATCAAGAGGCTGGAAGTGACAGGTGAAGAGGAGAATGAGACGCTCAAAGAAGCATACATCCAGTGGAAGAGAACATATATCGATCTGGTCCAGACTTCCAGTGAGCTGCAAGGTCTTCTCTCTGAAGTTGATTTGCAGCAACACCTGTCAAGACACCAAGATGTGATGCCTGAACTCAACACAATGAAGGCCGAGATGGAAAAGAAACTGGAGCCTACTCACAAGACACAAGAAGTTCAGCCATCAGTCGCATCATCAAGGTGTTCTGTCCGATCGAAGATCAGCCTTCTGCGACTTGAAGACGCCCAGAGAAGAGCGGAGCTAGAAGCCAGAGCAGCTGCCGCAAAGAAGCGACTGCAAATGGAGCGTCAGAAACAAGAGCTGCAGTGGAAGATGCAGGAACTGGAGCTGGATACTGAGCGTGAGATCCTGAAGGCGAAGCAAGGGGCTCTACTGAAGTTTGAAGAGGAGGAAGGAATGTGCGCACCCGGGATTCCCATCCAGAGGAGCAAAGAAGAAGAAGACGCGATGCGTGCATCAGAGCTTCCCGTACCGAAGAGCAAGCTTGAAAAACAAGAAGCCTCAAGCAAGATAGCTGTGCCCGAGCAAGCAAAGGCGTGCAAGGAGTCTGAGACATCCAACGATCCGAGCCCTTCGACTGCGGCCGACGTTCTCTCCAGCTTGGTGAGCGTCCTGAAGGACCAGAACAAGCAGAGCCACCTCCCGCTCATCGAACCAGGCGTGTTCTCGGGGAGCATCGACAAGTTCCCGCTCTGGTTGAAGGCTTTCGAGACGTACGTCGAGCACCGAACGTTAAGTCCAGTGGAGCGCCTGCACTTCCTCAGCAGATATACGGAAGGAGATGCTCACAGCGCCATCGCCGGATTCCTGCACCTGAGGACAAGTGACGCCTACGTGAAGGCCAAGGAGAAGCTCGTCGCTCGATATGGGAACGACTTCCTCATCGCCAGCAGCTACCTGAAGCGCCTGAGGGAGTGGTCGGCAGTGAAGTCCGGGGACAGTAAAGGACTCCAACGATTGGCAGACTTCTTGGAGCACTGTCACATGGCGTCTTCGGCCATCCCAGGTATGAGAGCGCTGGATGATCCGCACACGATCCAGATGGTACTGAAGAAGCTCCCTGTCTATATCGCGGACAGGTGGAAGCGCCTCGTCGACTCCAGCGTCTACGGACCGACGCCGCACTACCCAAGCTTCGCTGACTTCGTTCAGCTCGTCTCTACGGAGGGGCGTATCGCCTGTGGTCCGGTGAGCAGCGGCGCGCAGTCTGAAGAGAGCCCACCTGCAAGGAACATCCGTGGCAAGGCGCATGCGTTCACATCAAGTCACGAGAAGTGTGAAGCGTGTGGGCACCAAAGCGAGGAGCAACGGGCCACCCAGCAAGTCACGACCGCACGAGCAGTACGCCGCCCGTGCGTCATCTGTACCGAACCTCACGACGTGCACACATGCAAGAAGTTCATGGCCTTGCGCCTTGACGAGCGCAAAGAAGAGGTCATGAAGAAGAGGCTATGCAGAGGGTGCCTGAAGCCAGGACACATTTGGCGTGACTGTCGAAGAAGAGATAAGTGCGACAAGTGCCAGATGTCGCACCCAACGCTGCTGCACGATGACAAGCTCATGAAGACGACAGCGAGCGCAGGCAGTCACGACAAGACAAGTAGCGGCAAGCAGCATGGCGGCGACACACAGGTGAAGGCATCTTCGCTGCGATCTACCGCTCAGAGCACCGGGGATGTCGGAGTGTCCAATTGCCACACTATGATAGTTCCCGTGAAGCTGTATCACGAAAATCAACCGGAGCAGCCCATCATCACTTACGCTCTGCTGGACCCGCAATCGGACGCAAGTTTCGTGACGGAGGCCCTCTGCGACGTCCTCCAGCCAGAGAGTACAGAAGTGGAGCTTCAGCTAAGCACATTGAACGGACGCAAAATCGTCAGGTGCTCGTCGGCGTCCGGACTGGTTGTGGAGAGCTCGGAAGGAGGACCGGCAGTGAACCTCCCTACGCTCTACTCACGTCACGAGATCCCAGCAGACCGAGAGCTGATACCCCGACGGGAAACGTGCCTCAAGTGGCCGCACCTTCGCCAGGTGGCAGAGAAGATGCATGGCAGAGAAGATGAGAAGATGAATACCACGCAGACGCAGAGATAGGACTCCTTCTGGGAGTCAACTGTCCGCGCATCATCAAGCCCAGAGAAGTTATTCCCGGCGAAGAGGACTATCCGTGGGCCGTGCGTACGCTTCTCGGATGGGGCATCGTGGGATGTGTCAGCGAGGGTGAGCCGACGGGATGCTTCTACGTCGGCACAGGTCAGGGAAAGAAGATGTGCCACTTCGCATACCGGACTCGAGTGAAGGATGTCAGCCTACGGCAGGTCCAACAGGTCTTCGACAGCGGCTTCTTCGACCAGAGACAAGAGAAGACAGTGTCGCAAGAAGATCAGCAGTTCATCAAGATGATGACCAGCGGCATGCACCAAGTGGAAGGAGGCCACTACGAAGCGCCTCTTCCGATGAAGGACGAGAAGACAATGCCAGACAACAGGGATCTCGCGGTCGCCAGACTGTCTCAGCTCAAGAGGAGGCTCCTTCGAGACGAGAAGCTGCGCGACGAGTACACAGCTTTCATGAGCGATCTTCTCTTGAAGGGATACGCTGAGCCGGTTCCGGACGACGGACAGATGAAAACGGGCATGATCAACTATGTGCCACATCACGGAGTCTACCACGAGAAGAAGGGCAAGTTGAGAGTTGTGTTTGACTGCAGCGCGATGTGCAAGAACGACTGCCTGAATAGCCACCTCCTCCAGGGCCCAGACGTCAACAACGACCTCACTGGCATCTTGGTGCGGTTCAGAGAGGCCCCCGTGGCATTCAGTGGCGACATCGAGGGCATGTTCCACCAAGTGCGCGTCAACCCAGAGCATCGTGACCTTCTCCGGTTTCTCTGGTGGGACAACGGAGACCTCAACGAACAGCCTCGAGAGTACCGCATGTGCACTCACCTCTTCGGAGCCACCAGTTCTCCAGCGGTCGCTTTGTTTGCTCTGAAGAAGACGGCCGCCACGTACGGAGAGGAGTTCTCGCCCGAGGCCGCGTCCTTTGTGGAGCGGAACTTCTACATCGACGATGGAGTGGCTTCAACGAAGACTACGGAAGAGGCGGTGCAACTGATACAAGACGCGGCTGGTCTCTGCCTGAAGGGGGGTTTCAAACTCCACAAGTTTACCTCGAACGACAGGGACGTCTTGAAGGCACTACCTGTGTACAGCTTGTCCAAGAGCTGTCAAGCTGCGCTGGACGAGGAGCTGCCTCTCCCGCGTGAACGCGTCCTGGGACTGAACTGGGACATGGAGGACGACACGCTCTGCATCGACGTGACCCTGCCCTGCAAGCCGGCAACCAGAAGGGGCATATTGTCATCCGTGAGTACGATCTACGATCCTCTCGGGCTCATCTCTCCGTGCATTCTTGCGGCCAAGAACATCCTGAAACGGTTGTGCGTGGACAAGTACAGCTGGGACGACTTGATTCCGGAGGACATGGAGCGAGAATGGCGTCTCTGGAAAGAAGACATAGAGCTCCTGTCCACACTGAAGATCCCACGCTGCTACGTCACGACGGAACTCGGTGAAGTTGAGAGATATGAGGTCCACCACTTCTCGGACGCGAGCTACGATGGATGTGGGCAGTGCTCGTACCTCAGGACCATCCACAAGAACGACAAGATCACCAGCATGTTGATAATGTCAAAGGCCAGAGTCACGCCTGTCAGAGCCGTGACGATCCCGCGACTGGAGCTGGTGGGCGCCCTGATGTCGGCGAAGGTGAGCTCTTTCCTCAGGAACGAGCTGGCGATTGGCGACTACCAGGAGTACTACTGGACTGACAGCCGTGCCGTGCTCGGCTACATACGGAACGAGACGAAGAGGTTCCACGTCTTCGTCGCCAACAGGGTCGAAGACATCAGGCAGCTCTCGGAACCGTCACAGTGGCGCTACATCGATTCGAAGAGTAACCCAGCGGATCTTGCGTCCCGGGGAGCAAGCGCCAGCGAGCTGCTGACCAGCAGTCTGTGGTGGCATGGCCCATCCCTACTAACAGCGAGCATTGAACTCCCAGCCATGGAAGAAGAGTTCAACGTACAGAGCGACGACCCTGAAGTGAAGCGAGCTTCCTTCCAAGCCGCCATCTCGAAGCCACCAGAAGACGAGAAGAAGCTTCCAACCGACGGGCGACAGAGAGACCAGGGCGGCGACACAGAAGAAGATCGACAAGACGTTGCCGAATTAGACGATCAGCACGATGAGCGATCACCGGCAGGACCCGTGCGAGGACGCGACCGACTACAGGGAAATGAAGACAACACACTCGCGAAGCGCCTGAGCTACTTTTCGAGCTGGCACAGGGCGAAGAAAGCTGTGGCTTCGTGTCGACGCTACACGGCCATCCTGGCAAGTAAAGCAAGCTCGAACAGAAGTGTGGCCGGCGCAAGAGTCTACACCCCAGTGGAGAGAATGACAGTGGATGAGCTGCTTCAAGCTGAGCAAGTGATTTTGAAGTCAGTCCAGAAGAGCGCCTTCGAAGAAGAGCTCACAGTGCTGAGGACGCAGCAAGAGAACAGAGATGACGAAGAACATGCAGACCTGGGAGAGGGAACCAAGAAACGCAGAAGAAAGAGTGACAGAAGGTGTCGGACTGTGAAGCGCAGTAGCCCGCTGTACAAGCTGGATCCCTTCCTCCGAGCTGACGGGCTAATCTGCGTCGGAGGACGAATGAAGAACAGCACTCTGCCGAAGGAAGAGGTCCATCCAGTGATACTTCCGAGGAAGAGCCACGTGACGGAACTCATCGTGCGAGAGTGTCACGAAAGGACGTGTCATGGCGGTCGCGGCTCGACGCTGAACGAGCTCCGCGCCTCTGGGTATTGGGTGATTGGTGGCCGTTCCGCAGTGAGCAGTTACATCTTCGACTGCGTCAAGTGCAAGAGACTCCGCGGAAGTCCGCTGACACAGAAGATGGCCGACCTGCCACCGGAGAGAACGGAGCCAGCCGAACCCTTCAGCCACTGTGCAGTCGACTGTTTCGGGCCTTTCTACGTGAAAGAGAAAAGAAGTGAGGTCAAGCGCTGGGGAATACTCTTCAGCTGTCTGGCGTCCCGCTCCATCCATCTAGAATCGGTCAACTCACTCTCTGCCGACTCTTTCCTGAACGCTGTCAGGCGGTTTGCTTGTCGGAGAGGACCCATTCGCAAGCTGTTCTGTGACAATGGGACGAATTTCGTGGGAGGAAAGAACATGCTAGAGGGGGCGCTGAAGGAGGAGGATCATGTCAAGATCAGAGGAGAGCTGCTCAAGAAGGACTGCGACTGGTTCGAGTTCCGGTTCAACGTTCCGATGGCAAGTTCCATGGGAGGGGCTTGGGAGCGTATGATCAGGAGCGTGAGGTCGGCGCTGACTCCGCTGATCATGGCTCATGGCCACACACTGGACGACGAGCTGTTCCGGACGTTGCTGACAGAGTGTGAAGCGATCGTCAACAGCCGTCCGATCTCGTACTTCAGCGGAGCGCCGGACGATACTCTCCTCCCCCTGAGCCCGAACCAGATACTAACACTAAAGAGTAGAGTAGCCGTGCCTTATCCCGGTAGCTTCTCCCAGACCGACCTGTACGTGCGTCAGCGCTGGAGGCGTGTCCAGTTTCTGGCGGACCAGTTCTGGCGACGATGGAGGCGTGAGTTCCTGCCGACCCTGCAGGAACGCCACAAGTGGGCGCAACGTCGCCGTAACCTGCAGCCCGGAGACGTCGTGGCCGTCGTCGACGACGACGAGCCGCGCTCACGGTGGCCGCTCGGCCGCATCGTGTGTGTGTACCCGAGCGCCGATGGACTGATCCGCAAAGTGTGCGTGCGAATCGGTTCCAGTGACTACGACCGGCCGGTGAATCGCCTGATTCTCCTGCTGCACGACCGGGAAGATTCCCAGACGGGGAGCCACGAGGCCCAGTGATCGATGCGCGTGAGAGACGCGCAGGTGTGAAAGTGAACGCTACCGACGCTCAGTGACGCGCGCGCGCGCGATTCGATATCCCGGAGGTCACGTTTGGACGAGTGCGCGCCGTTCGCGATCGAGGCGTTATAAGTCTGCGGTTTCGACTCGGTGATGAATGGTGTATCCGAGGTAGCAGGGTACATCCGTTCGTACGTTTCCGTGTGAATCGTCCGCGTTGCTGAGTGCCGTTGCCCCGCGGTGGCAACCGCCGACCACGTCAGATGGTGTATCTTTCTTGTGTTACCACCAGGTGATGCTGCTACAGAAGATTGTTTTTGATTTCGTGGATGAGAGGATTGCAGGAAATTTGTGATCCACAAATTTGGGGAGCCATGTAACTGCGTAGCAGTTGTATCTGACTTTGGTTTCTCCTCATTTGCAGGTTCGCCAGCCATTGAATGAGTGCTAATTGAGCTGGGCGGCTATTTGTTTGTTTCTTTGTTGCGCATTGAGCGACTGGAAGGAGTGACTGTGGAGACAGCACACTGTTGTCACTCGAGGTACCTGGAAAGAGTACGTTTCTATTTTTCTCTAGTCATTTCCGTTGTATCGTTCGTCGCGATTTGGCTTCACCATGTGTTAATAATTTTTTCGCGCTATAATTCTGTTACAAAGTACAAGCGTACTGGTTTCGATTATTTATCATGCGTTTACCAAAGTTTCGACTGAACGTTCGCCACATTTTCATGTGTCACATTTAACGCGAAGTGTGTATGTGAGTGTGAATGTGTGCGCTTTATTGCTGAGAGAGCATTATTTTAACCCATTTTCTCATGTGTGTGATTGACAGGTTTTTACGGTGACTGTGGTGTTACCAACCCAAGGTTCTCTGTCATTACCCCACATTACTGGATCCCAATACATGTGCTCTATCCCAATGCATCCAGTAGTTTGAGTTTGATTGACGGTGGTGGCGGAGGCCGCATCAGCACTAGCCCCTTAGAATCCGAAAACTGCAAGTTTGAAATTCCATATCTCCGAATTAAAGCATTTGTCGATGTTGTGAGTGCCCAAACCGGTATTTGCAGGCCATGGCCACCAATTTGGCTATCTCAACTCAAAACTAATGTTAAGGTGGGAGTGTCCCTTTAAGCTAAATGCTAAAGCCGTTAAAATTTTTCTCTTTTTAAATTGACCATCTCACATCATTGCGAAAGTTGACAAACATCAACACATTCCGTTCTGCCAAACTTCTGCATGATGTGTCTTTTGTTATCATCGCCACGTGGTGTCGGTCGCCTCATGTCTGTATATCTTATTCTAGAATCACTGACATTTTAACAACCCCCTCGAAGCTCCTTAATATCAATAGTCGGGTGAGGTCGCGGACGGACGCGCTCCGTCGTATACATCATATATGTCTGGGCACTGGCTTCCAGCAAGTATTCACTAATGTGCATGCAGTGGCTATGTGTCTCGCGCTTAGCCATAAATCCGCGCACTGGGCAACTGGATTGTCCCCCCTGGATAGTTTGCCTGATGGATGACACCGCTGTCGACACAACAGAGGAGGAGGCGGTCCCTCTGCTGAGAGCGCCAGCACGGCGCTCGGCCCATTCATCCCCGGCGGGAGACACAGACAGTGTTATAATGGCCCTCTTCCCGTGCTTGGTTTCAGTCCACTGGCAATTACTGGCTGTATGAGCGGTATTTCTAGCAAATTAATTTATATCGCCGGTCTGACGACATTCTTGTCGCGCGTGGGAGAATGTGGGTTCAATGACCGCATTTCACTTCCTCCCCAATGATACGCCGCTAAATGATCAAATGATCAATGATCAGGGCCCCACCCCCTAACAAAGGATCAATGATAATCAACCTATTTACCAACTAAGCCTAGCGACCAAATAAGCCTAGAGAATGACACAGCGTGCCTTTAAGGTGTAGGAATGTGGAGTTCAGTTCCTCAATTGGTTATAGCCTCAAAATCATCACCTATAGGCAGATGTCTTCTAGCAAGGAATGTGGCATAAAGCTGCAAGTACCCTATGCCTTCATCAATTTGCGCTGTTCTGGCAACCACGGCGACATCAAAATACTCCATTCTCTCAATGCCCTATCCCTAAGCATATTTCGTGACGTTCTTCACTGTTTTCTCTTGAAGCAGTGTCTTCACAGACCCGTGTCGCTATCAGTCATTTGATTTACAAACTGCCCTCCGGACGGTTTGGAGTGAAACCTGAATGCCTTAATGCTCCGAGAGCCAACAAACGAACAGCCCCATGCTGCAGGATACTGAAGATTTCGGGAAGGTCGGGCAATGTGGTTTCTAAAGGGACACGATATTTATTTAACCTGCGCCCCAGTGGCGGTCTCAGCCAACTTCGCCCTAGTGGGGGGGGGGGGGGGCATATGTTACCACCCACCTCTAACTCAAAAACTAAGAGGGCTAGAAAGACGCGGTAAAAAGCAGTCGATAGCTCTCAATGCGTACGTTTGAAAGTATTTCGGTCATTTTTCACCTTAGAGCAATATTGGGGTCAACAGAGGTCATCAAAGGTCAAAATTTGCCAATTGTCATTATATTTTTCAGAAAACATGCAGCTATCTCAGGAACTATGGTAGCTAGAAAAACGCATTGTAAACCAATCGATAGCTTTTGAACTCTTCTTTTGAAAAGGTCATTATCAATATTGACCTCAGGTCAATGGTTTAGCCTCCAGAGGGCAAAAACTCCAGAAATAGCTGTTTTTACGCAAAGTGTTTTTCGACAATAACTTTCGACTACAAGAAGCCACGACATTTCTATTGCCAGAATCGTGTTCCCCTCGCCGAGACGCGTCGAATGAACTATAATTTGACCTTGAAAGGTCAACTTGAAAATTTGACCTCAGATCAAGGTCATGACCTGACCGGAAAAGGTCATGTTGCATATCAGTCGATGCGTCTCAACAAGAAAAACACAATGAGACCATCCCCAGCGTTCTATCTCTTTCCAATTGCGAGTTATTGGCAAAAAACTGTTTGTAGCCTCAAATGACCTCGGATGACCTTTCTAGAGGCTATCAGCAAAAATGACACCTTGGCCATCACGAGTGGGCTAAATCATTGTGATTCTGAAATATTTGGACCGTTCCTATGCGTACACACGGATCTAGAGGCATTTTCATTTTTCTCCATTGACTTGTAATGGAAAGGTCACGCCACTGACCTGACCTTAGATCACGTATATAAAAAATCCGAGATATAAAAATTGTAGGCGCCCATAACAGCATGCAATCCACCAAGTTTAAAACCTTTCTGACAAACACTGGAGGCTGGACATGATTGCAAACTTTTTTAGGCTTGGTCAGTTAACTTGACCTGGTGACCTGACCTGACATGACCTGGGGTCAAAAATTTCACACATTGTCAAAAATTGATCTACCAAAAGCTACTCCAAGCGGTGCGGCGTTACGCGCCGCGGTTTTTTATTCACACGCAAAAAACGAGACAGGGTGGTAACATATGCCCCCCCCCCCCCCCACTGGGGCGAAGGTTAAATGGTATGCTTATGATGTCCTTGTGTTTGAAATCGCCCTTCAGATATAAGACTACGACTGCAATGCAATGAACTGGTATAGATTCTAAAATACATTGGTTGTCGCACCTGGTGTTGCCTTTTACACTCCTTAGTGACCTCTCCCGGGTGTTGGTGCAGCTGTGCCTCTTTGATGAGTGTCTTTTTACACCTGTTATCACAAACTGAAGAGTTTGAATGGCTCCAGAAAAGGAACAAGCCTACTGCACCAAAGCTACTCTATTGTGGGCTTGATGTTCACACCTCATCATCACGATGTCGATCCAGTATAATTAGATGTATCGCCATTGATGCATGCCAGACTGGTGACTCTCGATTGTCTGTTTTGCCGCAGGGTGTGGTGCCGCTGCTGCTTCTGCTGTTGGTCCGAGCTCAGACCGTCGTCGCCGCTGACTCCACGGAAACAGACGACCACACGAACCTCTGCAGAGCCAACCTGCTCTACCTGCCCCCGAAACTGTTCGCCAAACACACCTGCGCTCTCTGCTACAACTTTCACCCAGGGTTCTACCAGAAGTCGAAATGGTCGCTCGCCTGGAAAAAGGCTGTGATCGGCAACAGCACCTTCATGTACCACGTTCTGTGGAACAGCTCCATGAGCGATGCAGTAAGTATTAAGCTTCTCATCCTGAGTTGGTGATTGAAATGCTAAAATATCTAAGCGGTAATATCAAGCGGTGGTGGTTATGGTATCAATCGTCTCGCGCTTTAAACGCGTCGGCTCGATCCAGCCTAGTTCGGTGTGAAATACGACGACATAAAATTGCTAGACTTTACTTTTGTTTGTCTTTATTATGAGCAAGAACGATGAAATCGTTACAGTTTTTTGCTTCCTCAAACATATTACAACATTTAGCTTACAGATGTGTATAAACCTCTGTTTTATTCTTTTATTCTGAATGCCGAAGCTGCCTTACCAAAAAAGAACATTATTTACCATAGTGCTTATAGAAGTTTCCCGGTTACTTGTCATCCTTGATGCGTTTCGGAAACGACATTGCACACATTTTTGAAGGAACATCTCTTATGAATTCTTTCGATAAATAATCCTTTGATGTTACGGACATTAACGATTTTCAATCAGGCCAAGAAATATCAGAATGACTGATGGTAAGCTCCGCATCCTGGTAGCGTAGGCGTATGTCGTCACATATTGCCTTTAACGTTCCATTTTCGAACACTCCATTTACTTTCCTGCGTTACACTCAAGGCTTTAGAACTGCGTTACACTTATAAGTGAAGCCGGAGTAAGTCCCACACTGCTGCTATACTGGTTCCGGCCGGGTTCTGTGTAGGTATAATAAGGGAGACATGACCTCAGTTCGCATGGCTTGAGAGTGCTGCATGGCATGCGTACTTGGAATTTCTGTGAAGAGCTGAACAGCCATGGAACCCGAGGTTGTGTTGTTTAAGTACCGACTAGAAAAGTGACGTGTGTGCATGCTTACGTCACAAATGATGCGACCACTCATCTTGTCAAGTGCCAACCTTTGCACGTAAACAATATCGACACTTGCAGCAGTCGTGCATGAAAGCAAACACAAATCACTGTTTGCGTCTGATTGTCTGAGCAGTCCATGAGCCAGTGGCGTCTCCGGCTGTCTGCCCGTGCCATCGACCGTCGCGCCCTGTAGCTGAAATCAAATCAGCCGCCTCCGGCTGGCCGTCGCTGCTTGGCGAGCCTGGGGAGCAGCGCGTGCAGCTGCGCCCCGCCCGGACCGGTCCGTTGCCTCTCCGCTATACTTACGACGGCCCGTCGGCAGCGAAACCCCATCCTGTGGATCTGATCCCGTGCAGGATTATATTACGGACTGTGAACCCTGTCTTTGTGTGATCCTTACCCTGCGCTGACAAACGCCGAATCGCGTTTCCAGCCTGACATCCCTAGTGAAAAAATCCTTAAGGACAATCCTATGTATTTCTTAAGGACGATCCTTAACAAAATCCTTGTACGAAATTGATACACAATCCTTAAGGATTTTGTTAGAAATTCCTTAAGGATTCTGCGGAAAATCCGTAAGGATTTTTAGCTAAATCCTTAAGGATCTCTGGCAATGTCTTTAAGGACATTGGTAATAATCTTTAAGGACTTTGTGGTTCTTCCTTAAAGATTGATAGCAAAATCTTTAAGGATCTTTGCGACAATCCTCAAGGATTTTGAGGCTATTCCTGAATGAATAATATATAAATCCGTAAGGATAAAATCCTAGCAAACACATTTGTACGGTCTCTGGTGCTATATTTTTTACTTGAAACAAGCACACTTAGCCATTTCATTGCCAGGAATGGAGCAGCCGCCAACCACAGGCAACCGAGTATACATTTATGGAGCTCTAGGCATTCGCAGGTTGCAGCTGAGGCTCCGAGAAATATAAGCCGAGGACTTCCGAAAAACATATTTACAGGAAGATAAGTATACACTTTTTTCGAGTCAGCCACGCTTCAGATATTATCACGTCACACGTCCTCGGCCACCGCTCCTCCGCCATCCACATTCTACACATCTTGAGCGGTTGAGTCGCCCGTCGCCTGTCGAGTCTCGCATCCCATGCGTTCCTGTAACAGGTCGGATATTCCTATGTAATAACAGTAATATATTGATCAACAATACCTACTCAAAGGCTCACGAATTCTACTCTTAGGCTTAGACTGCAGTCCCAGCCAGAGAATATTGGTGAGCTTTTGAGTAAATTCAGTTCAGTCATTTCCAGCTTAGATGCCTGTGTACTGTATGTTCATTTAGCATCACATATGCACCTACGTCCTACTACCCTGAATCTATTCTATTATATTTACCTGGGCCTCGTTCCAAGGCATGACGCTAAAAGACGTTACCGGTAGCACTTTCATTTGCCGCAGCCAAATGAATGACGACGATCGCCATTAATTGAAGTGAACGTTTCAGCGCCGGTTTTTGTATCTATCAATGCAATAACTAGGATCAATTATCTCATTGTTACACAGCATGGCAGAAACTTACATGGCCCGAAGAGGAGACGGCAGACGGCACAACACACTCCACAGACTCGTCCGCATCCCGCGAGCGGCAGCGGCACAATGCGACAGGGGGACGCGCGGTCTCCCCTCTTGCCGGGGGCGAGGATCAGACCGCCCGCTGCCGCCCGTACAGTCTTTAAAACGGGCAGCGGTCGCTAAATTCCAGTCGGTACGGTCTCTGAAAGAGCACAGCGCAAACACTGTGGCACCGGTGACACTAAGAGTAAGGCCATACGATATTTATACTGTGGCACTTGGTTGAGATACCAATAGGTACTTTTTATCAGAACTATTCGTCTATCTGATTTGGAGTCTGGGTGAACCCAGCGTGGACATTTAGGTGATCATCCCAGCTAAATATTAATTCTGAGTTAAGATAGCCAAATTGTTATCCCTGGTTCACAATCACCGGTTTTGGCACTCGCAATTTCGAGAAATGCCAAAAATCGAAAATATTTAATTTCAAAGTTGCAGCACAAAAGTTGGCGAGGCAGTGCCCCCGGCCATAGAGTTGTGGGGGAAAGCTGCTCCCACTGCCGCCCCCCTCGCCTCCCGGTTCCCGCGCCTATGATGATAACGATTAACGAACGCTGCTTTGGTCCGTCACAAAGTTTTTACATGCCGTATATGTCATATGGTTAAGAAATTAACGGATACGGATCACGGAATAATACTAGGGAAGATTCAATCACTCCATAATGATTGACGTACTGGCTGCATCGGCTATCCTGAAGGATTAAGCGTTACTAGCAATTTCCTTACGGAATACTGAGCGATCCTTAAAGGTAGACTGTCACCTTTTTTTCACTTACCGGTTTTCGTAACAGGTGCCCGCCCTCACCACAGATGTCCAGTCCATTTTCCGTTATCCTCACCCTGTAACGCGCAATCGCCTCCCAAAGTTCCATTTGATGCCATCTTTTTCGCCGGTGAAAATGCTCTTCACTAGGTTAATATCGATAGCATGTATGACACTTTTCATTACATTTTTGCATCATAGAGATTCATTGTTATTTTTCTTGAATGTTGTGACAAATTTCGTAATACCAATATTAATTTCAACAGCAAAGACGTACATTTAGTAAATTAATGTCGAAGGTTTCCTAGTATACTAGCATGAAAAAAGGCCGATCTCTTAGCATTGTGAAGGATTTCAGGGAAAGGAAAAACTTTGTCGATTTTAATTAAGAGCATTTTATATAATTTTTAAGGAAAAACTCGTCAAAAGGGTTTTATTTATCTTTTCTTATTCACACATATTCAATTCAAAGGCCATAAATTGTTAATTATCAAATTTGTGGTAGAAGACAATGCTTTTTTTACTTGAAGGGAAGTGGTAAAGGGAAGACCTGAGGTCCGATCTCTTCAACACTAGTGAAGGGAACAGACCCTATGACAAAGGTAAGTGGTAAAGGATTTTTTGTTTGCTACCATGTTCTGCAGCATATTTACGTCTGGACAACGAGTTGCGTTGGAGAGGCCGGAAATAGTGGCGATTTCAGGACCGCAATAATGGACCGTCATTGGAATGATTCTTTTTTAAAACATGCGTTGTTTTTAGCCGAAATTTAGTTCTTACCATAAAATATTTTGTAATTAGAGTTTGGCCGAGAATGAATACCATCAGAGCTAAGTTTTTACTTTCATTGTATTTTGTCCAGAAGCATTAGTGCTGTTTTGTTGCAGTTTTTGCGCGTTTGTTACAAAATATGAAGCAAACCTGCAAAAAAGTTCCAAGGTGAAGATGATGCATATCACAATCATATTGACCTCAAGTTCATCCGTTCCTTCCATGATTGACTAGACAGATTTACACATTTCAATTTTATCTTGGATCAAAGGTGTTCGTGTGATCAGTGCCAACTGCCAGAGTTTAACTTGAAGTCCATGTCCCTCCGCTAAGAAGAAGAAGTTATTAAATATTTTGCTTTGTGTATTCCAAGAGGAGAGAGAAGTGGGAGCTATTTTCTTTGTGCCTTCATGTCGAATTGAAGATGGATCATTAAATTTTCAAGGCGTTGATCAACCAAGCATTTAGTCTTTCTCGTACATAAGCAGTGGCTAAGAAGAAAAAGTTAATCATCATACCTGAAGTTAAGTCATCTTACTTCAACTCAAACTTTGCAGCAAGATCCCCAAGGACAGAGGATATATTGTATACCTATCCTGTAAATCAAAGCATTTTTGTGCTTGCAAAGGCTTAAGTTATTTGTTGTGTGCTCGGAGTGAGGCTATGGGCGTTTTGTTGTATGTTTATGCGGAGATTGAATATAACTGTGACCCTGTGATTGTTTGTATATTTACTACAGTCAAACAGCATATTCAAATAACATACTCACCTAGCTCATAGCTGTACTCCCGCAGGATTTGTACTTGTTGATGTCTCAAGCATGAACAAAGCACTAAACTAGCTTAGTTATCATTTCCCACATTTTTCTGAGCATCTAACATGGCATACAGCAGTGCAGAGCAGCTTCAGAGAAGAAACACTTAAAATGCACAGACTCACAACACAACAGCCACCCGGGTGGCTGTTTCCCTGGATGTGGTTTGGCAAGGTGAGCGAACTGTTATCAAGTTGAAGGTTAGCAGGTAAGATCGAGTTAGGGTGAGTACCTAGTACCTATAACTGGGTGCTAATGCTATGCAGGTCTTGGGTAAGTTGCAAATAAGTGTGATGATTGAGGTTAGGTCAGGTTAGTCAGGTATGAATTGATCAGGTCACATTTTTATGAACACTTGGCAAATTAAAAAAAAAACTAACATGACCTAATATTAACTAGCCCAACTAAACCTACATAACTACTGAACTATAGGTACTGAGCACCTACCTACTTGTGCCTACATCTCATACCAAGTCAAAATAAAGAAGTTCCTTTCTGGAAGATTACCCTGGCAGTACTTTTTATCCCAGCCCTGTCAAGAAAACTAATACTTCTCAAGTTCTGAGTCCCTTCTGGCCATCCACAGAAAGAAATGCTGACAGCTTTGCTTTTGTATATTATACCAATAATCACCATCACGGAACACATGATATGATCACATCGTTGCATGGATTGTCACATTGACAAATGACAATTTTACTGAAATCCTTTTTCAAGAAATGCAAAGTAATGATGAACATCAAATTAAACATTATAAAGCTGATTTAGTGATCCAAGCTTTCTCTTCCAGTAGCAACAGAATGATCGCATGTTTCATTTGCCAGACACTGAGTAATGCACATTACCATCTGCATAGCAAAGTAAAGCTGCCCAGGTTTGTTCATTCTAGATTTTTCACTTGGCAGCTAGCACTCATTGATCTTGCTGCTGTAGCCTGTAAGTAATATTTCAATATTCATACCAATACATCAATACGCGTTCACCAGCCAATATTTTCTGGCTTGATACTGCGCGTGTTCTTCAGTATTGATCTCCTGCAATATTATAGCTTGTTTTCGGCCAATAAGCTCTTTTACCAGGTAAGAATACCAGGTAAGAATACTGAGTAATGCACATTACCATCTGCATAGCAAAGTAAAGCTGCCCAGGTTTGTTCATTCTAGATTTTTCACTTGGCAGCTAGCACTCATTGATCTTGCTGCTGTAGCCTGTAAGTAATATTTCAATATTCATACCAATACATCAATACGCGTTCACCAGCCAACATTTTCTGGCTTGATACTGCGCGTGTTCTTCAGTATTGATCTCCTGCAATATTATAGCTTGTTTTCGGCCAATAAGCTCTTTTAATTTTACTTTTTCTTGCTGATAGGTGAGCCAGATCAACTTGTGTTTATCAACCAACATTTCCTAACTTCAACCTGATATTACTCAGGACTCACAACTCTTAGCCTCCTGTATACATCAACTTGGGATTGTTTTCAGTCAACATGCTTCTTTAATATGATATAATTAAGTCACAAGAGATTCAAAACTTACAACAAAACGACATACAAGAGTTCGAAAACCATCAGATAAAAAAAAAGGCCTTGGAACGGAGAAGAACTGAGCGAATTGGTGTGCTCCATTTGTTTGTTTACAATAATTGTAGTGCTGATGTATTGTTTTAGGACTCTAGCGGTTGGCTCATAAAAACTGAAACATTTTCACAAAATCTGTAAGGCAATTAATATTTCTCTGAAAGAACTTAAATATTCAAAAGCCAAACACCATGAAATACAGGAATCAGAACGAAAAAGTAACCCGAAAATCCAGCCTAATAACCGGCTCCTAAAACTGCGGCAAAATCAGCACTTTTCCCCGCAACTCGTTGTCCAGACGTAAATATGCTGTTCTGCATGTTTCCACGGTTTCCACCTCTGTTTCAAACACGACGCGATAAAATTGAAGACTTTTTCGGGCACGTGTCAAATGTATTGCTAATTCATAGGCGATGCTGAAAGTGGTTCCATCCTCATTTCTACGGTCTCTGTGCGCTAATATTAAATGGTTTTCATCGTGGTAAGTTGATATACAACGGTGCCGGAATCTATCAACTAACAAGTAACGGGTGTGCACTTAGTTTTGCAAAAAGATCGATTATCTCTTTTTTGAACTTGAAGTTATAAATACAAATGCTGGCATAGTGAATAATCATGCAATTGAGGATGAGCATGCCAAAATTCAAATTTATACAAATGACTTGGGGAAACTACCCATGATGGAAACTGCCAGTCTGCAAGGTATGGCAATTTTGACAAGATCTGGTCGGTGCAGGCTTGTTCAGCTGTTGCGTCATGGTGCGGATTTCGCTTGGTGTGCGGATTTAGTGGATCACAGTGCAGATTTGGCTTGGTGATGGACTTGACGGACAAGACGATATTGATGAGGCAAATCGAAAAACATTGCTGGAGCTTTTATGTGTAATTCAGTGTCCCCTGGGTTTAAATGAGTGTGCAACTGCTGGTCATTTTTGGGTATGGGTTCTGTGCGGATCTTTTACCCTCAGCCCGCATTGGGGTGGATTTTCCAGTTTTGAAGGGTTGGTGCGGATTTTGAACTTGGGCTAGTGCGCTTTGTCGACATGCAAGCGATACTTTGCAGCACGGCTGCAAAGTATGGCTTCAGCTTCAGCAATGTTTTTCAATTTTCCTCATATATCTCGTCTGGTCTGTCATGTCCATCAACAAGCCAAATCTGCAATGTGCTACACCAGTGTCCCAAAATTAGGGATATTTTGGCTTGGGTGTTCGAGGGTAAAATTCCTCACTACAAAGAGGACTGAAAGTGGAAAATTGCCAGTCAGAAAGATACAAGGAAGAATGAAAACATGATCACCATTTTCTATGTGAATGTTGCAGGATGTGGAAGCTACGATAATTCAATGGAATTTGAATGTAGGTACAAGCCAGCCAGCAAATGTACATGCGGATGATCTTAGTTGTTAAAGTTGGGAGGGAAAATTGTCCTGGAAAATTTAAGGTGAGAGTGGACCGAGTGGACTATTCAATTTCACAAGGATTTCACTTTCCACCCAAATCTTGGGACACTGGGCTACACTAGATCTGCACCCCACCAGCCAAATCCACACCACGCCGCATCAGATCAGCACCAGCTGAACAAGCCTGCACCGACGAGCTTTTGTCAAAATTGCAATACTTGGCAGACTGGGAAACTACTAGGCGCAAATCCAAATATTGATCGACCAATAAACAGTTGAAGTGAGCAGGGCTATGACCAAACCAGGAATAAATAATTTAAATATGAATGCTTATAATTATAAATAGTTATAAAAAATTAGTATTTGTCAATCACCATTCAGCGACCGTTGACCTGACCCAGTCTGAAAAACGTGGCAGCCACGTTTTCCAGTCATGCTGAAAGCTGTCATGCTGCACCTCTTAATATTAATTGTATAACAACTTTAAATGACAAATACAGCTTCTCTTTTACAGCAGCAACATGGTAAACCGTCGTTGTGTCAAGACATGCAAGCAACACTTTGATTACAAGCCCCAACATAAGCAGGGTGCAAACTGGAAACTACACAGGTATGTGATCGCGCCACCGTCATTGCAGTATTTGAAATGCAGTATCATGAGGGTTATATTTTATCATGAGGCCTCGGTTATCTTTCAGTCTACCCCCAAGACCTAACTTATTGTTTTTTCTCTGGCCCAGCATGCTCTCGGCACCATCCCTCCAATTCTGGCCCAAGGCAACGCACGAGCGCTGCCTGCATCTAGTATTGAAAAGACTTCGCTTCGCTTGCTCGCTCGTAACAACCTATGTAGGCTGTCGCCATTTATTGTGGCACAAATGTAAATGCACAGAGAAACCACCTGCTTTATTACCAAGAATTTGTCTTCATTGTGGCAGAGTATTAGAAATTGACTTTTTCAGAAAAATTATCTGAGATGCATTGTGTCCTGCTCCTTTGCTCCATAGGATGCCCAAGGCTGGAGACAGCAGGCGCCAGGCGTGGCTGGATGCCTTGGGTCTCCCATCGGCCGATAAGACTCTCTTCGTGTGCAGCATGCGTTTTGTTGACAGCGATTACACCCCAAATCGCTTCCTCCAGCCGGAGGCTGTACCCTCGAAGGTAAGCGCGCTCCGTGGCCGAGAGAATTCCAGCGGTAGTGTTAGACGCGAAAGCCGTTGGTGCGGACGGCCATATTTTGTTCGAACGCGTAATCGCGTGCCGGTGGGGTGGTTCTATTGTTTGTCTGAGTGAGAGGCGGCTTACCCATGGGGCGGTATATGGTGCAGAGCTGGGCGCCACTGACAAAGAGAAGGACGCTTATAATGTGACACAATGTGTTCTAATGTTATATTATCTTTTTTTGGCATGGGCCAAGTGCATGTGACCTTGGGGTGGTGCGTCAGTCAATAGTATGGAGATGAGTGCCTGTGACGTTATGACGTTGTGCGTTGTTTTGTAATTGTGCCGTCTATTGATGGGGCGAAGGCTTGCAAATCCGCCCCATTGGAACAAAAAGACATTATTGGCACGCCCCCCCCCCCCCCCCAGCAGGGCACGGGTAAACACACTGGTAGTTCACCAACCTCTCTCTGCACTGTGATTTCAGAACCTTGGTACGTCACCTGCGACGGCGACGTCACCTGCGAGTTCCGCGGAACCCCTGACGCCGTCACCAGCTGGACCATCCGCGGCCCTGGACCATCCAGCGACGGCCGTGACGCCGTCACCAGCTGGACCATCCGCGGCCCTGGACCATCCAGCGACGGCCGTGACGCCGTCACCAGCTGGACCATCCGCGGCCCTGGACCATCCAGCGACGGCCGTGACACCGTCACCAGCTGGACCATCCGCGGCCCTGGACCATCCAGCGAAGGCCGTGACGCCGTCACCAGCTGGACCATCCGCGGCTTTGGACCATCCAGCGACGGCCGTGACGCCGCCACCAGCTGGACTATCCGCGGCACTGGACCATCCAGCGACGGCCGTGACGCCGCCACCAGCTGGACCATCCGCGGCACTGGACCATCCAGCGACGGCCGTGACGCCGTCACCAGCTGGACCATCCGCGGCTTTGGACCATCCAGCGACGGCCGTGACGCCGTCACCAGCTGGACCATCCGCGGCTTTGGACCATCCAGCGACGGCCGTGACGCCGCCACCAGCTGGACCATCCGCGGCCCTGGACCATCCAGCGACGGCCGTGACGCCGCTACCAGCTGGACCATCCGCGGCACTGGACCATCCAGCGACGGCCGTGACGCCGCCACCAGCTGGACCATCCGCGGCACTGGACCATCCAGCGACGGCCGTGACGCCGTCACCAGCTGGACCATCCGCGGCACTGGACCATCCAGCGACGGCCATGGCGTCGACTCTGCCGGTGCCGGAGACGACGGCGACGTCACCTGCGCCGCTGGTGTCAACACCGCATGGACACCAGCTGCGAGCTGGTAAACGGCGGTGGAGTGGAAGCAGGTGAGAACTGGGAACCTATTTATGACAAACTTTTCTTTTTTTTGCTTGAGGGATGCTTCTGGTGTCTTTCTGCTAGAATTATTCAAATTGGGCTTTATCTATTATTTTGACCATGCGCGTTCCTCGAGCATACTGCATAATCATGCCACCTGTCATCATTTATTCATATGAAAATTGTTCAAAAATTTACCCCAAAGAATGTACTTGTTAGCTGTAAATGTTTCTTTTTTTCAAAAACAAATCAAGGATAAAGTCATTTCAGAAGAAACTGTTGATCATGTTCATCGCCAGAGCACTTTACACGATTTCGTCGTATGCATAACTTAGCTGCACAATCCACAATCTGTATCAGTTGGGGGAGGTTTGGTCAATGGTTGTCATTTTTAGCACATGCCATTTTTGGCAACCATGTGCTAAAAATGACAACGCTATCAGCTATTTTTAGCAACGATGAAGCCGATTTCACTCCTCAGCGAGGAAATCACGATTTTGGAAATACAAGCACTGATTTTGGAAAAGAAGTGCTGCCACCTGGTGCAAGAAGAAGAAACCAGCTTTAATATGGCCGTTGTTTGTATGGTAGTCCAACGTTGAAGTATTGTAGGGATCATCTATACGATTTATCATCTATGCGATTTGTCATCTATGCGATTTGTCATTTCATGTTGTCATTTTCATTTATATTGTCACCGCTTTATTAATCAATCTGTTACCTGTTGCCAATTGCACGTCAAGTTTGTTTGTTATTTGTAAACCGGCCTGCCGCTGGCCTCAACCTTCCTAGTAACCGCTGTGCCATACGCTATAGAACGTGTCGTGCAAAGGTCACGGCGGCACCCCTGAGGCGGCCGCTGCCCGTACGTTTAGGAGCCCATTGTCGTGACGTCATGACTGTGAGCAAAGGTCGCGGTAGGGGCTCTCCCGGCAGCCGGACGGTGACTCATACGTTAAGCTTGTCTCTCGCCGCGCCTGCGGGCATATTGGTAGTACTAGGAACGGCCAGCATGTGACCGCGGTTTTCGGCGACATTGTCAATTCGTTTTTCGACTCTGCTGTTCGCTGCAAGACCAATACACATAGAAAACGGCTCGGGCATTTGGAGAAGAGCGGCTACTCTGAGGCGAGGGAAGAACACGGAGATTCACACAAACGACCTGACTAGGTTGCACCGGCCACAGTCGACCGAGGTGGGCTTCTGCGCCCTTAAAGACGCCTCTGACTGGCCATTGCGCTGACACCCTGGTCGGACCACGGTCATTGATCGGACCCTGCCACTGGTTCGTGCTCAGGCTGCCTTAGCGGGTAGACCTGCTCGACCAGACGCCCCACTGGTGGGCGAGTGCTCGGTTCCGACTTTCACCGCCGGTCCAACAGCGTTCTGCTGGTTCCCGCCGATCCGGTTACGACACCGCAAGTGCCGTACCGACTCGGGCGTCCCAGGTGGGCGTAACGGTTACCACACCAGTTCGCGACCCCCAGGCTCTGTCAGCCGTCGTACGGCTCTCGGACGGACACTCTAATAGATCAGCCACAGATCAATAGGTTGTCACGGACCGTCCGTCCAGCCACGCGCTACCCACAGCGCAGTACGACAATTGGTGACCCCGACGTGATCTCCGTTGTTCGACCTTAGCCTCTCGTCATGCCCGCGGACAGCGCACAGTCCGGCGCCGCAGCTCAAGACCCAGCCAGCGTTCCAGCTCCAGCCTCCGAGTCAGCTCATCGGCCCATGGCTAGCTTCCGGCTACCACCATACTCTCCGGAAGAGCCCGACCTGTGGCTACTGCAGGTGCAGTGCGCTTTCGACGTCAGCGGGGTCGACTCCGACGAGCTGAGGTTTAAGCTCCTCGTCGCAAACCTCCCCGCCAACATCGCCGTCCAGGTCAAGGACGTCATCCGGTCATCTCGGTCTTTCGACGTGCTGTGTGCAGCGCTCATAGCCCGCCTGGCACAGTCACGCGCCGACCGACTACAAGCCCTGCTCGGCCGCCAACAGCTCGGCGATCAGAAGCCGACGGCGCTGTTGCGTTCAATGCGCAACGAGCTAGCCGCAGCCGGGGACGCCCCGGTTGATACGGAGCTCTTCCGTACCCTCTTTCAACAACGGCTACCGCAGCCCGTCCGTGCTGCCCTCGCCCTCCTGCCAGCCGACAGCACGCTTGACGCACTGGCAGAAGCGGCCGACCGGTATCTGGAAGCTAGCGGACCGGACCCACGGCTATCAGCGATCGCGGCACAGCCGTACACACAGCCGGCACCGCCCATCGCTGCTGCAGTGACAGCCCCAGCGCCAGCTGCAACCCCTGCGCTGGACACCGTCATCGCCTCCCTGGTCGCTAAGATGGAGCGCCTGGAGGCCAGCAACCGACGACTCGAGGACGCCGTGCGGCGCGACCGCAGCCGTTCCCGGCCGCGCCAAGCGTCTCGCCAGTCACGCCGCCCGTCACCGGCTCGTCCTTCAACGCCGCCGCACGACGACACGCTGTGTTGGTACCACCAGCGATTCGGCGCCCAAGCGCGCCGATGCAAGTTGCCGTGCTCCTGGATCGCCTCGGAAAACTGAGGCGCCCCGTGCTGATGGCGCAAAGCACGGGCGCCCCTCCTGCCGCGCCACTCCTCTTCGTGAGGGACACGGAGACGGACCGGCAATTTCTAGTCGACACCGGGGCGCAGGTCAGCGTGCTGCCTCGCCGCTGCCTGCCCAACGGGTCTACGCTGACCCCTGCTCCTGTCGGCCAGCAGCTCGTCGCGGCAAACGGCTCACCGATCGCGGTGCACGGCACCTGCCTGCTGGACGTCACCTTGAGTCAGCAGCACCGCCTAAAACATCGATTCTTCGTCACTGACGTCACCACACCCATCTTGGGCACCGACTTCCTGGCCGCACATCACCTCGTCGTGGACGTTGCCAACCAGCGTCTCCTGCGGGACGGCACCGTCTGCGCCAGCGCCGAGCGGTCAAGGCTGTGCTCCATCGGAGTGCGTCTCGTCCGGGAGCAGGCTGCTGCTCGCTTCGCAGCTGTCCTCGCCCGGTACCCGGATGTGACCTCACCAAAACCTGGACCAACACCGGTGAAGCACAACGTGACGCACCACATCGTCACCAAGGGTCCACCGGTGTACCAGCGGCCACGACGCCTCCCGCCGGAGCGCCTTCAAATCGCACGTGCTGAGTTCAACAAGATGCTCCAGCAAGGCATCATTCGACCGTCGAGCAGCAGCTGGACAACTCCACTCCACATGGTGCCAAAGAAGAGACCCGGCGAGTGGCGTCCTTGCGGCGACTACAGAGCGCTGAACGCCCGCACCGTACCAGACCGCTACCCGCTGCCGTACCTGCGGGACTTTTCAGCCGACCTGCATGGGTGCACCGTCTTCAGCACCATTGACTTGGTGAAGGCTTACCACCAGATCCCGGTGGAACCTGCCGACGTCCCCAAGACAGCCATCACGACACCGTTCGGCCTCTACGAATGCGTTCGGATGCCGTTCGGCCTCAGAAACGCCGGACAGACCTTCCAGCGTTTCATGGATGAGGTCCTCCGCGGCATACCGGGCTGCTTCGTCTACCTGGACGACATTCTGCTGGCCAGCCCGACTGCCGAACACCACCTGCAGCTCCTGGACCAAGTACTTCAGCGCCTCAACACCTACGGCGTCGTCGTCAACAGGCACAAGTGCGTCCTGGGACAGGAGCAGGTGGTGTTCCTCGGCCACTCGGTAGACGCCGACGGCGTCCGCCCGCTGCCTGGACGAGTCGAGGCCATCAAAGACTTCCCGGAACCGACCACTCAGTCCCAGCTACGGAGGTTCCTGGGGATGGTAGCCTACTACCACCGCTTCATCCCCCAGGCAGCCGAGCTCCTGCAGCCTCTGCACGCCTTAATCACCCACAAGGCAAAACGCTCGAGAGCGCCTGTCACGTGGACAGACTCGGCGCGACAGCGTTTCAAGAACGTCAAGGACGCCCTGGCCACGGCGACACATCTCGCACACCAAGTCCCGGACGCGCCGCTCGCCCTCTTCGTCGACGCCTCGGACTGCGGAGTGGGCGCCGTCCTCCAGCAGCACGTCGCCGGCGAGTGGCAGCCCCTCGCTTTCTTCTCGAAAACGCTCCAACCCGCGGAGAAGAAATACAGCACGTTCGGGCGCGAGCTGCTCGCTATCTACCTGGCCGTCCGGCACTTCAAGCACGCCATCGAAGGACGGTCAGCAATCATTTTCACAGACCACCGACCACTGGTAACGGCCATCGGCTCCTCGTCCGACCGCTACTCGCCACGAGAGGTCCGCCACCTGGACTATATCG